TAGCATCATCATGACCAAATGCTAGCATCACACTGTAGGCCGATTGCACACGCAGCTTTATAGCAGAGCAAAAATGAGGTTATAATCAAACACACTTGTCTATGTTATTGGTTCAAGTCGAATGGTCCATTTGACTGATTCAAATTAGCTATTAGATGTTACACATTAGCATTAGCATAATAGGACACATTAGCTACTACATTAACTACTGTTTGGTGTCAGTACAGTTGTGTAGATTTTACAGCCAGTTTAAAAAAAAATAGATTCACTGATTTATTTGCCCTTTATAACACAGTACTACAGGGTTGGTATATTGTAGGTGGATCAACTATGATCAGGGTTGCCAGGTCTGCGCAACAAAAGTAGCCCAACAGCCAATCAAAATTAGCCAAATGCGATTTTCTCCCTGATGATCAAAATAATCAACCCGCAGAAAAAAAGCAACTCACTGCAACTTAAATGTAGCAACACTACGGTTTTTCCACCAAACAAGACTTTTTTAGCATAATCACTACTAGCTACTAGGGGTGTAACGGTACACATATTCATATTGAACAGTTCGGTATGAGGCTTTCGGTTCGGCTTTCGGTTCGGCTTTCGGTACGCATTTTTAAACCGAACGGTTCGTTGGACCATTTTTCCTGCCGACCAAATATTCGTTATTTCAAATGTAGGCGCGTCGCGTGTGGCAAGTGCGCTCATAATGTAATGGTGTGTTCACACTGAACGCGAATAGAGCGTCAAATACGCGTCTATCGCGTCTAGTTAGACGCTTGAACATTCGCTCGAGTTCAAATTTTTCAACTTGCGCGGAAGACATTCGCGGCAAACGCGTCGCCCAATTCGCGTCATTCGCAGCGCCCGGAGCGAATGATGCGTCTATTCGTGTCTTTGCATTGACTTTGTATGTAATCTACTCGCGCAAATAGTTAAATTTGCGTTCGGTGTGTACACACCATAATGGTGTGTTCACACCGAACGCAAATTTAATTATTTGCGCGAGTAATAATTCACATTTCTCCGTTATTAACGAATCAAACAGAGCTGACGTGGAAACCAGGAAGAAACATTGTGCCATGAATGAACTATTCAGTGTCCACAGATCAGCAACATTCACCATGAATTTACTGTAGTAACACTACTACCCATTGAAGTTTGGCAGGAATAGTAGGCTATAATGCTTTCAAGTAACATTACGTCGGTTTTATCAAATGTTAATCTGAACTAAAATAAACCTTTGTTTATAACTACAACAATATTACATTTCATTTTGTCCAAGGAGCTGTTTTGTTTTATATGCTCCTAAGAAAAGTCAAGTATAGCTCCATCATTGCTCAAAGTAAAAAAATATCATACTTTATGATGTTAGTTTTAAATATAATTAAAAAAAAATAATCAAGGAGATTTCTCTGCCATTTCTTTCTTTTTGCTGTATCGAAAATGTACCAATCCGTGACACAAGTATATCGTATCGAACCGAACCGTGAATTTTGTGAACCGTTACACCCCTACTAGCTACTGTACATTTTTCAGCAGAGTGAAGTTCAGCAGGTTTATTTTATTTTATTCTTTTTACAGATAATATAGGGTTGGTTGCATGTGTATGATTTTTCCACCCAAAAAAAAAAAGTCCAAGATGCAAATTAAAACCATCATGCCCCTCAAAAGCTTGTGTTTGACCTCTTCATAAAACTGTCATATTTAGCTATTTCAAAAAGACTTTTGTTTACTTGATCTAATTTCCTGTCTTCTTTAGTGTGGCTTTCAAATTAGTCTTGAGAGACCTGCAAGCAAAACAAGTCACTCCTCTCCGTTAATGTAAAACGTCTGTCTTTTTGCGTCTCGCTGCCAACCGTTGTATGTCTGCCGCCCCGCGCTCGTAAACAGACGGCGCCCCTGAGATCATCTGCATGTTTGGAGTCTTCTATTAACAGCCCTGGAGATAATGGGAAGCACATTACCACTGAAGGTACAGCGCGGCGTCCGACGCCACTGTATACAGAACCTTCCTGTGAGGAAGCTGCCGAGTCCCGCAGGTCCCAGGAGGTTCTGAGGGGTCAGAAACAGGGCCGGCTGGGACGTGCTGATAATGGGAGACGGCTCAGGGGATGCGACTGTGTGGCGTGGGTGTCCAGACAGACAGTCGCAGAGCAGTCCGCTGACGCATCACTGTGGCTGGAGGTTTTGCTAATGTGGCCCAGAGATTACGTCCTTATAAGTTATAATGTGGTTTTGGAGGGGAGGTTAGTTCATGACAATTCATTAGTTGTTGGTATAAATTGAGTTTTGTTGGGTAATATCTTTGGTAGCATTTTATTTCGATGGTTCACTTTAAACATTCTACTAACTATAAGTAACTTTGCAACTACATGTCAACTAACTCTCATTAGAGCATTAGTAGACTGTCTGCTTAATATCTTCTAACACTTTGATGGTCAGACCCCATCAGAAATTCAACTGACTGTAAGTAACTTTGTAAGTACGTCAACTCATTCTACTAACCCAAACCCTAACACCACATGTGAGTTAGTTGGCCTGTAGTTGCAAATTAGAGTTAGTTGACCTGTAGTTGCAAATTAAAAAGAGTTAGTTGACCTGTAGTTGCAAATTGATGCAAGTTAGTTGACCTGTAGCTGCAAGTTAATGAGTTAGTTGACCTGTAGTTGCAAGTTAATGAGTTAGTTGACCAGTTGCAAATTGATGCAAGTTAGTTGACCTGTAGTTGCAAGTTAATGAGTTAGTTGACCTGTAGTTTGAAGTTAATGAGTTAGTTGACCTGTATCTGCAAATTAATGAGTTAGTTGACCTGTAGTTGCAAATGAATGAGTTAAGTTGACATGTGGCTGCAAGTTAATGAGTTAGTTGACCTGTAGTTGCAAGTTAATGAGTTAGTTGACCTGTAGTTGCAAGTTAACGAGTTAGTTGACCTGTAGCTGCAAATTAATGAGTTAGTTGACCTGTAGTTGCAAGTTAATGAGTTAGTTGACCAGTTGCAAATTGATGCAAGTTAGTTGACCTGTAGTTGCAAGTTAATGAGTTAGTTGACCTGTAGTTGGAAGTTAATGAGTTAGTTGACCTGTATCTGCAAATTAATGAGTTAGTTGACCTGTAGTTGCAAATGAATGAGTTAAGTTGACATGTGGCTGCAAGTTAATGAGTTAGTTGACCTGTAGTTGCAAGTTAATGAGTTAGTTGACCTGTAGTTGCAAGTTAACGAGTTAGTTGACCTGTAGCTGCAAATTAATGAGTTAGTTGACCTGTAGTTGCAAGTTAATGAGTTAGTTGACCTGTAGTTGCAAATGAATGAGAGTAAGTTGACATGTAGCTGCAAGTTAATGAGTTAGTTGACCTGTAGTTGCAAGTTAATGAGTTAGTTGACCTGTAGTTGCAAGTTAATGAGTTAGTTGACCTGTAGTTGCAAGTTAATGAGTTAGTTGACCTAGTTAGTTGACCTGTAGTTGACCTGTAGTTGCTAATTAATGAGAGTAGGTTGACATGTAGTTGCAAATGAACGAATTAGTTGACCTGTAGTTGCAAATGAACGAGTTAGTTGACCTGTAGTTGCAAATGAACGAGTTAGTTGACCTGTAGTTGCTAATGAAAGAGTTAGTTGACCTGTAGTTGCTAATGAAAGAGTTAGTTGACCTGTAGTTGCTAATGAATGAGTTAGTTGACCTGTAGTTGCTAATGAATGAGTTAGTTGACCTGTAGTAGCTAATGAATGAGTTAGTTGACCTGTAGTTGCTAATGAATGAGTTAGTTGACCTGTAGTTGCCAATGAATAAGTTAGTTGACATGTAGTGGCAAATTAATGAGAGTTAGTTGACCTGTAGATGCCATTTACTGAGTTAGTCGACCTGTAGTGACAAATGAATGAGAGTTAGTTGATCTGTAGATGCCAATTACTGAGTTAGTCGACCTGTAGTGACAAATTAATGAGAGTTAGTTGATCTGTAGATGCCAATTACTGAGTTAGTTGACCTGTATTTGCAAATGAATGAGAGTTGATTGACCTGTAGTTGCAAATTAATGAGAGTTAGTTGCAACGTTATTATAGTTCGTAGAATGTCTAAAGCGGAATACTGAAATAGTATGTAATCATACCTTTAATAAGATTTATTAAAAGTATTTATTGCAATTAAATTCATTATTGTATTATTAAAATGTTATTTTACTAAGGTAAAAATGGGGAGTGGCTGATGGAGGAGGGTTCGATTATCAAATACAGTAAATTTTTATTTCAGATATTTCTGATATTCATTTTAATATTGTAATATAAATGAACATATTAATATATGATTAATATTAATTAATATTAATATGTTAATATAAATATATATTACTTTTATCATTTACATATTTTTATATATTTTTTTATACAATTATACTTTTTATTAATATTTTTATTAATATATAAAAATACATTTTATTTAACAAATCATCAATCTATAATTATGTAGGAGAATAATTATATATTTGAATACATATTGCTAAAAATAAATCACATTGCTGTCATCGCTGTTCTCATATCACAATTATTATATACATTTTATTTTGATATTTAAGATACATAGTCCAATATTATGTGATATTATTGAATTAAATTTTAACAGAAACAAAGCAAAAAAAAAAAAAAAAACTCGAAAGAAGACTTGCAAAATACAGTAGCCTAATTAACTGTGTACATTTTCAGGAAGCAGAGGTTAATGGCACTCTTCCTCTGTTGCATTGTGTCTGTTAAAGCTGCCTGACCCTGCTGATGTCCTCACGGACAAATGGAAAGAAGGAAATGCCGCTTGATCTGTGTCTACTAGCACTCTTCATTAAAGACTTCAGAGAGAAGATTAACCTGAAGATTTGCAGACTGCCACAGCAAAGAGCGTAACTATTAGTGTTGTAGACATGATTTCACCATTTTCTGCTGCCTTTTGATTCTCTCTATGAAAGTGAACGTCAAATTTAGTTTTTGAGTGCCAGTATGTAAGAGTGTGAGTTCTGACCTGTATGAGTGAGCTGTAGTCGTGGTATATTCTGGTTTCCAGCATTACTGGACCGTATAAGAGGCAATAGCGAGTGGAGCAGAAAGACCAGCAGGGGACTGTATCGCCCAGCCCTCCACAATCCCACGATCCTCATCTCCAGCTTTCTGTTGTCTGAGAGTACAGGCTGTCTTCAATGTCACATCACCTCCGTAGCGCTGGAGAAATAACAAGCAGATATGAGCATGTACGTTGAAATTAAAGGTACACAATGTAACTTTTTTGTTCAAAATTTACAAAATGTATATAATGAGCGAGTACATCATGAATCCATCTTCCAAACCATGTTTTTGTCTTATCCTGAATCACTACAGTACGCCTATAATAAGTGTTTATATTCAGAATATATAATATAATATATAAATTAATATAAAATATATTTACAGTTAAATGAAAAACTATTAATCCTCATTAAAAAAATAAACAGTTATTTACAGTGGTGCCTGATGTCACTGTTAAATATTTCATAATGATATAACCTTTTTTTGAAAATGATTTTTAAGACACATAACAGTGCAATATTATATTACATTATTAAATATCATGACCTTTTAGAAATTTCGCTGGAGAAATAACAAACCAAATGAGCATAAAAGTCTAAATTAAATATAGTAATAATACTGTAAACATGAAACGCCATTCACAACCTATTTTGTTTCTGTAATCTGTTGCTAATCAATATTAGATTATAATAATATAATATAATTTAATATAAAAAATTTCACTCCGCAGTTGCTAATCAATTCCATAAATAATTGCAAAAGCAATGGCTTGAAAATGTTAAATATGTTGTCATTCAATTCTATATAAAATTGAATAAAAATATATTTAACATTTATTTATAGAATTATATAAAAGTTAAATAAATGTAACATTATGTAAACATTAAATGCAAAAAAAAAAAAAAAGATGTTTCCCAGTTGAAATTGAAATTTTTTTCAGTTTCATTCAGAATCAACAACGTTTTTCCACATCAAACTGATTTTTTTCCCCTCAGAATGGAGAAAACTCCAGATGGCATTCTTTCACAATGACATTAACCCTGTAGATGTCATCTTTTCTAAACAGAAAACAGAATGTGCCACATCGGCCCAAGCAACACTAGCACCACCCAATGTGGTTTACAGTCTCCTCAGGTCAAAAAGTGCTTCAACCAGGAGGAGCAGAAGGATTGCTACCCCAAGAACAAACTGATTCTCAGCACCGACTGGAAACCCGAAACGCTCCAGAGCGCGTGAGCGGCGTGCCGAGCTCACACGACTGCGCGAGAACAAGCCTCGCGCGGAGAAGGAAACCAGAGCATTGTCTCGAGAAAAGTTCCCATGGCTAATCAGCTGCCCTGATCTTTATTCCCCTTCCTTTCAGAGGTCAGCCTACATAAACAGATCGCATGCGCAACCTAGAAACACTCGAGCGGCTTCCTCCTGTAAACGCTAGCCGCTAGCCACTGTCAAAGGACACGCAGGAGTTCAGTCCAGTGGAATGGATTTCGTTTGTCCGTTTCATGCGACGCACAGTATAGAAAGTTCAACAATTGGCGAGCTCATTGAAAGAGCAGCACTTTTTGTGTTGGCGCTCAGGGGAAGCATTTTCCCATCATGAGGGTATTGTATGTTGCGCCACTTAGACTCGCGAGGGGACCCCTGGGGACGGTTTCGACACGAAAAAAGGGCTTGAGCTCAAACATATGCAAAATGAAGATAGGCTTTTTCTATTGCTCCATTCATCACCTCAAAATCTAAGCTCATTACGCTGTTATTCGGACATAATAACTCCATTCAAGTTCCTCGAGTGACGGAAACCAAATGCTCTTCGGTACGCAGAAAGATTTATTGCGAAATGTGTTTTAACCTGAAAATCAGCCATCAAATAGCCGGAATTCATTTCCCAGTTTAACTGAAGAGCTCAGGTTCAGGATTTACTGTGCTGGTGTGAGCGCAGGTGCTCAAGGACTCTTATTAGCTCCGTTTGTTGACTCAAACCTTATTAATCTCCCTGAGAAAGCAAAAGAAAACATCATTCCTGGCCCGACAACAACTATGTGTGAGCTGTGCAAGTTGGTGATGGTCTGGCAGATACTAATAACATTTTTCATTAGATCATTAGAGCACTTGTGGTTTTCTTTATGTCTCGGTTTAGCAGATACGCATTCAGTTGGGAGAGCAGGGGAGATTTGAATTATGTTGTATTAAAACGTCCCTTCGGTGGCCTTGGTTTTTATAGAATGAGTGGGATATGGTTTCAATCATTATTAATGGCTCTTTGGAGACTTGTGACCTATTATGTGCTGCTGCTACTAGAGTCGGTAACAGCGTACGCTTACTTTTGACTACTGGCGTAAAGTCTGGTCCACTTTGCAACTTATTCTGAGCAATGAATATACTTTGAATGCAGTGTAAGTCGCTTCAGATAAAAGCATCTGCTGAATGCGTAATTGTAAAGGATAGTGAGTCTTTGTGAATATGATGGGGAAGAAAAGAAACACAGATGTGGTGAATCAGATGAAATCTGCCATCAGATTGACCTGCTCCCTGCAGACAACAGTTAGTCATCAGCTTTTTCAATATGAGGAAAGACAACAAACAAACACTAACTGTGGGAAAATCATCAAGCTTCGGGAAGAGGAAGTAGTTGATATTAACTCACTTCCAGGCGACAAAAAACACACGACTTCAACCAGGAGAGAAATGGCAGCTCACTCCGGATATAGAGCCTGTTCCCCTACAATGGTAAGAATGACGGAAAACTAGAGCCTGTCGGGGTCACGTTCAAAAAAGGACCTAGTTTACAACCTTGACTGGCAAAGCTTGAAGAGTTTTTTTCCGATCACGTCCAAGCCTCAGGAGTTAAGCACACTGAGGTTTCATCTGGTTCAAAAAGGCTCTCCAAGGAAGATGGAAAGCCTGTAAACACCTTCACAGGCAGACGGGGAAATAATGATCCCTGCAGGGCGACACATAAGGGACTTTGTCAAAGTAATGGATGAGCACTCTCACTTCCTCTTGGGCTTGTGACCGGACAGAATAGAGGGACCGGCGGGGAGTCTTTCACCGCTCTGCACCAACAATCCCTGATCCGACCCGACAAAAACCCACCACTTCAGACTCGGTCACCTTTCCCTGCATTCACACGCCACTAGAGGCGCCGAACGGAAGTGCAGTCTGTTTAACTTAACGTGAGTTTGGACCAAGACTAACTGTTTTATTGAAAAATGGTGCTGGATGAAGGATTCTCTTCTTATTTTTTTAATAAAACATGTTATAAGAATCATATTTGTGAACAAACAATTGATATATTTATTTAAAGCAGATTTACACACATTCTAAAACATAAATAGCACGAAAATCAGCTAAATGTTGTTCAAACATCCGATAAAGAAGATTTAGCATTGGGTAAACGTCAAATCGATGTTTCTTCAGCAATGTTTACATGTGCTATTGTGACGGAGTAGTGCAGATTTCAGACAACAAGAATTTCGACTACGCCACCCATGGGAATTTCACCCCGGGAAATATGAATGAAACCTAAGAATTTAGGTCACACAGGTTCGACTCTCTTAAGAAGGTAGGCAGAAACGTGGGTACCATGAAAAAATACAAAGTTTTATTAATACAAAGTCATATTTAAAAAAGAGAATGGGATTCACATTAAAATAAACTCTGTTGCACCCGAATGGGTCTAGTGACTCGTTAGTGCATGGCTGACATCGGCTTCAAAAACAAACAAAAACAACAAATGACGTACAACAATTTACATAACTAATAATTGCACAAAAAAAAAGAAATACAACCTTACAGGTCCGAGGTTCACCACGGAGAAGTGATCACAAAGCTAGTTAGTCAAAAGCACACTTGCACACACACACCACCGTGCACTCAGATCACGCAACCAAAACACTTCAAAAGTGTTGCACGGCAACCGTAGGAGGAGCACCACCACCACAAGAGACGCTTCACCCGTGGGACCCCGGCGACTGAAAGAAAACAAACTTAGAATAAACTTCAAAACAGTTACAATAAATCACAATTTGATTACATCACTGTATGATCAAAAGAACAGGCAGTGATAAAGTCATATCAAATCACAAATAATATACAATTTTTAGTACAATAGAAAAAGAAAAGAAACAAATTAACTCAATTCAAATAATAGGGTAGACAGGCTGGAAGGAATCAACCGCGGGGTGATTCCTTCCGTATTTCACAAATAGTGCACGTCAACCCCAAAATACACTAAACTGTAATATAACGAAACCAAACAGCGACAATCCCCCTGAACAGCTGGACGATACGGCGTTCTCGCAGTATGACAGCAGAGAAGCGAACGGGACTTCAACTATGGCAGAAACAAATTGCCCACGAGCGAGAGAGAGAATCCTGAGACAAATACACAGGAAACAATTACTCAAATGCATACATCAGCTGCTAAAATTCTCAGCATATAACTACGTGCATGACAACACTTACCGAAAAATGGAGATAAGCTCTATTATCCCTTTACAGGCACGGGTATATGGAATTCATATGACTGCCGTTCAGCTGAGATACAGGGAATACTGCACACAATACGAAACATCAACTAATCCCCAAACCCCACAAGGCTAACCAATCTGCTTTCTATAAAACAGTTCGCACATACCTGAGAGGTTAGCAGTCTTAGTATCCACTTAAAACAAGCCGAGGGAACCCAGGAGGAGAAAAGACAGGCTAGGATGCACCATAAATCATTACTGCCATGCACACAGCAAACAGAACTTGCTACCTGCTAATGGAACATACCTGTGTCCACTGTCAACAACAGAAAACGGGGAGGAGCCGGACGTGACGCATCCCAGGCCACAACCAACCAGCTCTTAAATAGTGGATACTCCTTGCTGATTGGTGCTCACAACCGTCAATCACCACCACTCATCTCATTCATTCGGTTACAATCCACCCCCAGCTTCTGCACCGACGCCCCGACGGTGAACTCAACAGAACCTACACTCTGAGCCCTCACTTCCATGGCCGAAACCAAGTAACAGATGTACTACCCACTATACTAGCGACCGTCCCTACCCCCACAGATCGAGGGAGGTGATATACATTAGGGTGCTGTCCAGCAGTACTCCTTCCCGTCCTCCTGACCACAGCAGAGTCTGAAGGAAGACTCATTACCG